GGAATCTGTTTAAATATTATTATAATAATAAAAAATATAATTAAGTAAAAATAAAACATAACTATTCCTTTTGCTTTGTCTGTCTTCTTGTTCTAGGACCACATCGAAAAAGAGAAAAAAAATGTAGTGGCTGAATTCAGAGAACTACAACTCTTGTTAGAAGGACAGGAGAAGCTTCTGTTGGCTAGAATGGAAGAGACGGAGAAGGAGATTATGGCAATAAAGGAGAAAGGTTTGGCCAAGCACATGGAGGAACTGTGCTCTCTTGACGATCTCATCCAGGAGATAGAGGAGAAGCTTCAGCAGCCAGCCAGCAAACTCTTAAAGGTCAGGCAAGAAGTTGAGATCATAGAATCACAGGGCTGGAAGGGGCCTTGGAGGTCTTCTAGTCCAATCCTCTGGCCAAGGTAGGAGTCCTTATACCGTTGGCCAATCTATTATTGGAAGCCTCCAGTGATGGAGCAGCCACAACTTGGGGAGGCAGGCTGTTCCACTATTAATTGTTCTCACTGTCAGGAAATTCTTCCTTATTTCTAGGTTGGATTTCATTCTGATGAGCTTCCACCCCTTGCTTCTTGTCCTGCCCTCAGGTGCTACAGAGAGTAAATCGATGCCCTTTCGCCTTTGACAGTCTTTCAAGTATTGGAAGATGGCTGTCCTGTCTCCCCTAAACCCTCTCTTTCTTAAGCGAAGCATACTGAGTTCCCTTAGCCATTCATTGTACGGTTTGGCTTCAAGAGCCCTTATCATCTCTGTTGCTCCTCTCTGCATTCTTTCTGGGGCCTCAGCATCTTTTTTGTATCCTGGTGTACCAATGATGAAGTGGAGTAGACTGCTTTAGCCTCGCCACAGAATCCTGTTTTTGACTCTTTCCTTTTTTTCCTTTTTTCTAAATGTTATTGAAATTATAATAGTGAAAAGTACAAATGAAAATAAAGAAAATAGGGAAATGGAGGATAAGAATGGGAAAGGAGTGTAGGAGAAAGGAGAAAGAAAAAAAAGCATTGTCTTCCAACTTTTTTCAACGCAGTAAAATACAAAATAAAACTACAATCTCATTTTTTTACTTTTACATGTTTAGTAATTACAGTATTAGCCTGTCTATAAAAACAAAGTCTAATAAGCACAATCAAGCACAAAGTTCAGAAGCAGTTTCCAAGTAGAAACTAATATGTATATTTTTCTCTAATTAAAGCAATTTTGTCATTTTTTTCTAGCTTCATCATTTTCTCCATCCATTCTTCTGTTGTGGAGATTGATATATAGATAAGATAAGATAACCTTTATTGTCATTATTTTTACTGTGGGCACACTGGTATACATAAAAAATGAAATTCTGCTTCCTGCTCTCAAAAGTATACACATACATAACAAACATATAAAGATGCTATATACATACATACTCGACCGAACACAGGTAAGGATACATGTTAGATCCTACCTTGTGGCAATGAGGGTGGCGAGGTTTAATTACTACTCCACCCTCATTGCGTCATCAGATAACCGCCCGGCCACCCTCTTCAGGGTGACCCGCTCCCTCCTTCAATTGAGGGGGGGGGAGGACCCCCTGGTGGGGAGGGCTGAGGACTTTGCACAATATCTGAATGACAAAGTCGCTCGGATCCGGGAGGGGTTGGACTCCGACTGGGTGGCCCCGGGGGAGGTGGAGGGAGCAGGTCTTGAGACGATTATATGGGAGGAGTTTGACTCTGTGGCTCCTGAGGATGTGGACAGGATCCTGGGGAGGCTGAATGCAACCACATGTTTACTGGATCCGTGCCCCTCCTGGCTGGTACTGGCGGCTCGGGAGGGTACACGAGCCTGGCTCCAGGGAATTATAAACGCTTCTTTGCGGGAGGGTGTCTTCCCCGCGGCCTTAAAAGAGGCGGTGGTGAGGCCCCTCCTGAAGAAGCCTTCCCTGGATCCAGATGTGTTGGCTAACTATCGCCCAGTCTCCAACCTTCGCTTTGTGGCGAAGGTTGTGGAGAGTGTGGTTGCACAGCAATTCCCTCGGCACCTGGAGGAAACAGTCTATCTGGACCCCCTCCAGTCGGGCTTCAGGCCGGGATACAGCACGGAAACGGCATTGGTCACGCTGGTAAATGATCTCTGGAGGGCCCGGGACAGGGGTCATTCCTCTGTCCTTGTTCTTTTGGACCTCTCAGCGGCTTTTGATACCGTGGACCACGGTATCATGCTGCGACGCTTGGATGAGTTAGGAGTGGGAGGCACTGTTATGCGGTGGTTCTCCTCCTTCCTCACCAACCGTACGCAGTCCGTATTGGCAGGGGGACAGAGGTCGACCCCAAGGCCCCTAACTTGTGGGGTCCCACAGGGGTCGGTCCTCTCTCCCCTTTTTTTCAATATTTATGTGAAGCCGCTGGGGGAGATCATTCGTGGCTTTGGGGTGGATTTCCATCAGTACGCTGATGATACTCAGCTGTACATCTCCACCCCAGGCCACCCCAACGATGCCCTTGACGTGATGGCCCGTTGCCTGGAGGCCGTAAGGGTCTGGATGGGGAGGAACAGACTCAGGCTCAACCCTTCCAAGACCGAGTGGCTGTGGCTGCCGGCGCCTCGGC